GATCATGCTGTTGCCAAACGTTTCAAAATTGAACATGTCATCGATCCCAACTTCCCTCTTAACATAGGCAAAGTTGGACATGCCAAATATGGCATAGATGAACATGACCAGGAAGAGCAGCAGACCAATGTTGAACAGAGCAGGAAGAGACATCATCAAAGCAAAAAGCAGAGTGCGGATTCCCTTGGCACCTTTAATGAGGCGCAGGATTCGACCGATTCTGGCAAGTCGGATGACTCTGAACAAAGTGGGGGACACGAAGTACTTCTCAATCATCTCAGCTAAGAACATACCTAGAGAAAAAAAAGTAAATAATTACATCAATTTTAAATTTATTCATTACCTATAGAAAGATTTATGTATTGCTATCTCCAAAACAATCAGTATAGGGAGTCTATGTTATAGTAAAACATTATAGCAGTTATTACATTTTATTGAAAGCTGTTATTAAGGTGGAAGCATCTTCCTCATGTTGAAATGCTATCTCAGAGAAGGGAAATAAGTAAAAGAAAGTCTATTGGGAAAGGGAAATTTATGTCTTAAATACATTTAATTCTTGATGGTGAGCCTATAACCACTGTCTTTTATGAAGGATAATGTTGGCCTAATTTTTGCAAATCAATGATTTTTTAACAGATCTACGCTGTATCAGCAAATCTCTCAGATATATCACTCTTTAAGAATAAAGTTTTGTCACATGCCTCATTTGCACCATGGAGAGTCATTAGCTTTTAACTGACAGAAATCTCTTTACCAAGATCTCAGCAGAAGTAAAGAAAAATCTCACCTCTTTCACATAGTTTCCAGTTTTCGTACTGAAAGCAAATCTGGGGTTAGTTTGTGTATATCACTGAATACTACTCTTTATATTTGTGCATGTTAATCTAATGTGCCAAACAGTTCCTTTGTGTCTTTTGCTATGGAAAGTGACAGTAAATCTAATGGGAAAGATAAAAATCTTATATGCAACATTTCATATATTGTATGCCATAAAGTATGAAGATATGAATCAACATGTAAGTCAACAAGGAAACAGAAAATTTCATCTCCAGTATCGTAACATTCTTGAAACAAATGCTCCCTCTATTCCTTCCACTAGTTATTTCTAGAAAGGGAATTGCTCTTACCTACTATGGAGAGAATGACGACGACAAAATCAAAAATATTCCAGCCTATAGTGAAGTAGTAATGTCGAAGTGAAATCAGTTTCAGCACAAATTCTCCAGTGAAAAGGATAATGAACACC